TTAGCAATGAAAAAATTTTTATCGACTCGACTTTCAATCTATATTCACAATTGTTTATTTTTTTTCTTATTTTCGGGAAAACATTCTCATCATTAACTTAAACTTTTTAGTGTCACGATAAATAATAAACAGAGAATTATAATAAATAAAAACAAATGTCAAGATGTTTCATCTAGTTTATTGGAAAAACGGAAAAGTTTCCAAAATCCTTGATGACCAATTTATCAAAGAAGATAAAAAAAAAGGATTTTCGGCTAAAAAAGAAAATAAGTTTGAAGAAGCTAAACTGATCAAAAAGAGTCGTAAGCAAAATACAATTTTACTTTTTTTTTAACCGGTCACTGTATTCAAGTATTTAAGCTCTCATTTATTTACATTTTTTTAATTTCTTTATTTTTTGTAAACAATTCATTTACCCTATAAATCGGGGTGGTTTACATCGTGTTAATGATTAGAACGATTATTAATAGTATTGTAGAAATTGTTTTTACAAATTCTATTAAGAATATTTCCTCTATATAAAATGTTTTTAATTACTGAGTACTTATATTTATCTTTGCGTTGTAACTATCTGAGCCATTAATCCGCGCACGAAACATAATTTTTCTGAATAATTAAAGCTTATCCTACAGTAATCATTGTACGAACAGCATGACGAACTATTGTACAATCTCTAATATTTTTAGAGTTCTTTTAATTAATTTCACCATGCTCAACAATCATTTTTTTATGATTTTCTATAAATTTTATAATAGTGAATGATAAAATAAATAACTTTTCTAATTATTTATATTTTTTGAGGTTATAAAAAAGTCTCGACAAGAATTTCTGTTGATAATGACGGAAATATTATAAAAGAGAAACCAACGAAGAAACGAAACAAAATTGCACTTGAAGAGGATGGAAAGCTGATAGGCGAACTATCAATTTTTGAAAAATTTCAGTCTCCCTTTGATTCCCAGAAAGAAAATTCAATATTGGGTAATGATGTTGATGAAATAGTTGATCAGCCTATAACTGAACAACAACTGTGTTTCTCAGGAGTTTCCCAAGTAATTATCGCCACTATAATTTCCAAATTTTTCTGAAAAACTCTTGCATTAATAATATTTGTATTTTTTTTTAAGGATGTGGCTATACGTACGACAAACAGAGAGATACGGAAGTTAAAAAACGACTTTTTCTCACAGAGCAGTATGAAAACATTCGTTTTTCAACTTCCGTATCTCTCAGTCTGCCACAGGTATAGCTATTAGCTTTTTTTAAAATATATATGCATATGTATGTATATGATTTCCATGTATATATTTCCGCGTGACTCATCTGAGAAAAAATTTTTCAATTTCCCGCTAAGAAATGTTTGTGTATGTAAACCTCTCATAACTTTTTAGCAGCTTCAAAGATTGAAACTAAATACGCTGTGCTCCAAATAATTCCATTACTTAGATTTCCTAATAATTTTATACCCATTCGGACCGATAGATTTTAATAGTTTTCATAAAGTACTTTTTTTTTAATGTAAATTTTTTTAATTAACTTTTAAACGGTTATACCGATCGATTTCAAAAACTAATCAGCTTCTGACATTAAAAAATCATGCTGACAATTGCTAGTTTGGTTATAACCGACACGTTTGCTTGAGAGAAATCGAAAAATTTATAACGAAAAGGATTTTTTTAAATCACTATGAAATTGTTAATCTAACCAATTTATATTTGACATTTGTTTATTGAATATTGACGTAGAATATCGTCAACTTCATAAAAATCATTTGATTCATTCAAAAGTTATTGCAATTTAAAAATAAAAAAAAAGTGCTTTACGAAATTTCTATCAGACTTCTGAGCTAAAAGAGCTCTAATATATGAAGCTCGAAAAGCTAAAAGTAACACAAAAATTATCTTTTTGAACTTAAAGATCTTAAAATGTTTTCCTAAGTGAAATTTCCAATGCTTTACACTTGAAGTTAATGGGCAGTTACAAAAATAGTCGGAAGGGTGAATCATGTTACCAATTTTTTTTAATTGTATTCTGTTTTGTCGAAAACTATCCAATACGGATAATTCCCGTAATTGTTTTAAATTATATGATAAAGTTGGGATTAGGAAATTAAATAATAATACTTGGAATTTTTGGGGAACAATTTAGAAGAATTTATTTGTCCCCAAAGGAGGAAAACCCAGCTAGGCTGGGAAAAAACCTCCTTGATGAAAATTATACAAGTAAGTTGTATGTGTGTAAGTGTGTGTGTATAAATTACGTTGCAATAACGCAATAGGGGTGAGCTCAGCCGCCGTATAAAGAAAATTATCGATAATTTGAATTTGTACTGTCCCAAGGCGGGAGCTAGTAATATCTAATTAATTAGATGAACTGTCTCAAGGCGAGAGCTAATAATGTTCAATTAATTAGATGAATTGTCTCAAGGCGAGAGCTAATAATGTTCAATTAATAAGATGAATTGTCTCAAGGTGAGAGCTAATAATGTTTAATTGTCTCTAGATGAGAGCTAATAATATTCAATTGATAACAGAATGTTAGTCAATTGAGTTTGATAATTTCGTGTAGAAATTAGTCAAATGATTTGAAGTTGGAATTTAATTATTTATAAGTTAAACTAAATAAGATCGTAATTAAATGTTAATAATTAATTCAATGTAATTAATGGTTAATATCACGCGTCAATTATGGATTGACTAAAGCCGCGTGGCTGATGCAATCTTTTGTCAACGGTGGCGCGTAATGGCCGCGTGGCGTCACTAAATAAATTTACTTGATTTTATTTATGTTAATTCACTGAACTATTAAACTGATTTAAATGAATTGAGAATTTAAAGTATAATTGAATCTACTATAATTATTTATATTTAATGAATAATTTAAATATTTGAATGAATGTGAGATGCAAGTAAGAATTGTCAGAATTGGTTAGCACAGAGTAGTCGTACTAGTACAGAAGTCCAAGCACAACTGTTGCATCAGACCACGCGAGCCGGCTTCTCTACCGCTAACCAAGGCGCGCATGAGCGACGGCCATAGCGTGATACGATTATTCCCGAGTTTATACGATTAAGCCCGAAGGCGTAATTCTTCTTATAAGTATTTGACTAGATCTCTTTTCTAGCGGTTAAACATATTCCTAATAGTACTTTTAATCAATGATATTTTTTTGGTTGCGGAATTGAAGAATATAAAATTTAATTAAAACTCAAATAAAGTCCTAATGGAATCAAAATCAAAAGAAAATTACTCTTTACCTGCAGATTTGAGTTCTGAAAGCCGTAAGTATTCTGTAATAACTGTAAAAAAATTTTTTTTACCAGTTATATTATTCTCCTTTAGAAAATGTTGATAATTTCTTTACAATTAAATCAGCTGAATCCCCTATTTCAGCTAATAAGATAATGGATAACTATAGTGGGCTAAAAGTTGACAAAAATGATAATTTTGATAAGAAACTTGATTATACAAGTAAAGACAAAACTTTTCTCAGAATAAAAGACCAGCTAGCAAGCTCAAATGTAATAAACCTTCAATGATTTCCTCTTAACAATATGATTTTGATACAAGCTGATTTTTGTCGGGTGCACCAATTGTGGTGGATTGTTTTTTTTTTGTGACTACTGTCAAGGTCGACAAAGTTTTGTTCCGGACGCGTACCACCGCCACCATCGACGTTGAACATCGCCACTATTGCCAACGCAGGTCACGCCGAAGACGAACGCCCCAGCGACGGAGTTCTTTTCCCGGGATACCAGGTCATCGCTACCGCCGAGCCGTCCAGGGTAAGTGACCTCCATCTTCAAGGGTTAGTTCGTGGCCACGTAATTCCAGGAACGCCGGAGTACGGCTCCTGGTTCAATGGATTCAAAATTTCTGTGATAGCAGAGTTTGTTTGTTCTTTATGGTAACGGTTTGGTTAGTTTTTTTTTTCTTGCCTATTAAAATTTTTTTTGTTATTAGATTTTTCTTTGCCTATTTTGGCAATATCAGGATAATACTCAGAATCGTGGCCACGAGGTACCCCGGTACCATTGTAGAGTGTGTGTGCATGCTGGGTATGCAGCGTATGTAATTGTGTAGAGAGGGAGAAAATTTGGCGGCCATTGTCTACGGCCCAAATTTCTACCGTGGGTCGAGTTACCCAAGGAGACGGCTTATCCTCTGACACCTAGAATATCGAGCTTCGGTCGGGATAAGTTATCGACGGTACGCATGAATCTAGCTCGGCGGGTAATTCAAAACTAAATTCCCGAGCGAGATTCAAATCATCGAAGTTGGCGCGAAATTTAAGTCGCACACTCCGCCGCCAAGAGAAAAAAAAACCCTACATTGGTGAATTTCGGCGCGAGATTTGAACTGCGGGTCTCAGCGTGCAATTTGGGCGGTATGATTCGGCGCGAACTTTTAATTGTAATTCGTGGGCAAGTAGCTGTCAGATAATTCGACGCTTTTAGTCATTAAATTTTTAATTTTTATTATTTATTTACTGATCTGTTGGTATTATTATTATCATTAATTTTTTTTTGTTAAACATTATAATTTTCTTTATTAATTAAACGATTTTTTTTATTATTGTTATTGTTTTCTGTGATAAATCCTGTTGGTTGAATTTTATGAGAATCCAAGGATTAATTTTTTTTGGTTGATCCCAAGCAAAAATTTTGGTTCGCTCCCTTCTGAATTCGCCGCCTTGAGACGAGTCCTTCTAGCTGAGCAGCTGAGTCGACGACCGAGGGGAGTTTTGAGCTCTCCTGGCGTCCAGGTTAAATAAATCGGTAGTCGATATGAGGTAGGTGAGTTTTTAGTATGTATTTCGGACGCTAGGTTTGGCCGACGCCTGAACCTAGTTTAGCCGTCATAGAGTATAGAAAATGTAACTCTTACTAACATAGAAAATTTTATACGTTGATACAAAAATCATGCAGATGGTCATAAAAAGCTCAAGGTTGATTATAATAGGGTCTCTGATCCCTGATTAAAAACTAGTATTTAAAACAATGGGAGAAGGAGTGAAAAGAATTTAAATTAAATACTTTAAAATCCTTTTTCCATTGTTCTAAATGCGACTAAATCCTAGTTTTTAACCAAGAATGGTCATAGAAGGGTCTTATGAGAATTATTTCTACGTAACACTGTAAAAGTTTCAATGTCACACATAGTGAAATTTTCTATGCTTACATAGAACTTTTTTCTATCTGAAAATTGTAAAAATTTCTATTTATATTTCTCCGTGTTCTAGCACTCATAAAAGAACTATGAATTAATTGTTGCTACAACAGTATTTTCTCTTGTTGGTGCAACAGTATTTTCTCTTGTTGCTGCAACAGGACCCATCCTGTTGCAGTGCCTATTTTTTTTCGTGTATAATTTTTCTGTTATTATGCCGCATTTATCAAATACGGTCAAAGTTTCGTTTTTTAATATTTTAAAGACTACTGTCCCTGGGTCACTGGGTAGTTCTAGTCAAAACGAAAAATCTATAAGCCAACCAATGATTAAGCACAAGCAGAAAGACGATACAATCACACTCGGTGAAAGTATTTTATCACTTATTATGCTGGTAGTACGGCATAAAATAAGTCATGTTTTATTGGCAGACATTATTAGAATAATTCGCTGTTTTTGTCCAACTCCTAATATTTTCCCCAAGACTTTGTACAAGTTCCAAAAATTTTTTTGTAATTTTGATCTGCCCACAAAGCGTCACTATTACTGTTCTGTTTGTTTTTCAAAATTAAACAACTCGATGGATACTTGTAAGCAATGTCCGGACGCAGAGCAATGCTACTTCATAGAACTTCCTTTAGTTCCTCAATTATTGCGTTTATTTCATCGTGACGGTTTCTTTAATTTATTAAACGCTCGATTTGATAGGCAACATGATTTTCCTGGCACGAAAGATGATATTTGGGATGGTGAAATTTATAAATCTCTAAGTGGTCCAAACGGATTTCTATCAAACCGAAATAACATCTCCTTCACGTGGAACACTGATGGAATTGACCTTTATAAATCTTCAAAGTTCAGTATATGGCCATTCTACTTAACGATTAATGAGTTACCGTTCTCTTTGAGATCACAGCTGAAAAATACTTTGATTTGCGGATTTTGGTTTGGATCGATTAAACCAATAGCTAATGTTTTTATGAATTCATTTCGTCAAATCATTGAAAAAATATTTAAAGGCATTTTTATTAGACTTCCGAATCGTGCGAACTTAGTGAAAGTTAGGGGGCTCATTATTTGTGGAACCTGTGATTTACCAGCGAAAGCATGTTTTTTAAATATGAAAGCGCACAACGCAATATACGGTTGCTGTAAATGTAAAATTCAAAGTCAACAAGAAGGTAATACTCGAGTTTTTCCTTACACCGAACAACTAGATTTGAGGACTAGTGAAGAAACCATTCGACAAGGGGAAGAAGCATATGAAACTGATGACGCGATTGAAGGAGTAAAAAGACCAACAAATTTATCCAAAATTGTGCTTGATTTCATTGAAACGACTAGTATAGATTCTATGCATTGCGTTTTTCTTGGAGTTGTCAAATTTCTAATGAAGCTTTGGTTTGATATTTCCTTCCATCGATCTATGTTCTCTCTGAGTAGTTATATTAAGAATATCAATCAGCAAATTAAAAACATCAGCCCACCTTCTTTCACCCATCGTTTACCTCGATCAGTATCAGATTATAAATATTGGAAAGTGTCAGAGTTGCAATACTGGCTTTTATATTACTCCCTAATTGTGTTATATCCATTTATGCCGACAAGTTATTATGAACATCACAAGTTATTAGTTAAATCTATAACTTTATTAAGTCTACAGAGTGTATCCGAATTAATGATTGATGAAGCATCTACTTGTATAGAACAATATGTCAAAAGATTTGAAGATTTATATGGACTATCTCATATGACATGTAATCTACATCAGCTTCGTCATTTACCCGATGCAGTTCGTAAATTCGGACCTCTACGGACAACTTCATGTTTCCAATTCGAAAATCTCAATGGCGTTTTGAAAGGATTAATAAACGGAACTCGATACGCGCAATTACAAATAAGTAAAGTTTTATCAATATTTTTCAATATTGCCGAGTTGAAAATTAAATATTTACAACCTGAAAGCGATATTGCAATTTTTTGTGAAGATTTGGAAAAAAGTACGCGACAGAGACGTAAACTAAATTACATTCGCCATAAACTAGCAATTGTCGGAAAACTTACGATAATTCAAAACTTACCGGAAGATTTACTGAATCTTTTGACAGAGTTTGGTTTTCAAAATTATCGTAATTTTCATTCATTCAATGGGCTTTTTAAAGATAACGTTATCTTTGATTCAAAATCATACAAACGTAAAAGAAGGACTATTTCGTACGTAGTAAAATACAAATGTGACGAAGAATTGCATACTGGAATCATTGACCAATTTATTAAAGCATCAAGGTGTGATTTACGAACCTGCGAATGTGGTAGTTGTGACGAGAGGTCAGATTGTTTGGCAATAATGATTGAATGTGATACATTAGATATTATTATACAAAGTGAAAAATCAGATTTATTATGTATTTGCAAAGAAATAGAAGATCAGAAGAAAGTGATCAGTGTCGACGATTTAGAGAGAGTATGCTATTCTATCGATAATACTGAGAATCAAGAAACATTTGACGTCGTAGATCCAGTAAATAACTCTGAATTCTATTAGCTTATCTTTCAGATCTTTGTTCTTTCGTTATCATGTCTTTTACAAGTCACGTGGGAACAAAATTTTTTTTGCCTCATTTACTCTAAGCATCCGCATTTATAATTAAGGAAAATGACTGTTAGATACAAATAATTTTTGCAATATGATGTTCAAATAATGATAATCTTCTTAAGTAGTATTTTTAAATATTCTAGATTTATTACTCAAGATGTAAATAATTGTAATAGTTTTTTTAAGTTGATATAATTATAATGAATTAATTGATGTACAGTTATTTGTAAAACGCTGTGATACATAATTTATATCTATAAAATTGGTATTGTTCATGACTACTACATAAAAACGCAGAATAACATAAAAACATATCTACAGCGATCAGAAATACACTTTAAAAAATTTTGATGTAAAAATGAACCAACAGTATTATAAAAAAATGTACTCTAAGATTTCTCATTTAAGGATATAGTTTAAATCTCGTTTACAGATAAAACCAATCTATGGGTCAGGTTCATAAGAAGTTTCGATATTCAAGAGACCATATAACCTAATGTTTCGAATGTTATGTATGAATTAATAGATACTCAATATATTTTCAGCAAGCATTGTGAGTCAAATGTCGATATAGTTTTCCAGAAGTGAATTATTTAAGTAGCTCCTCACTCATACAAAAATAATAGAATAAAATCCTATAGTGTTTCAAAAATGCTCAAAACATTATTTCAGTTGAATATGTGGCAATAAAATGTTGGATGTACTCCGCTCACAGATACATAAAAGATCCAAAAATGCAAGATGACTTATTTCTTTAATTAATGACTAGAATGTAACGGAGTACACGGGGCCTTCTTTACCCAGAGAAGGTTTCCGATCCGTGAGTTAGTTATCGACTGATTCCCCAGAGCGCTGTGTTCTTAAGTACTCGCGCCTCTAGCTGTAAGTTAGTGAGTAAGTCCCCAAGGGGGAAGCGTGGCCATATCACAATTATAAGGGGGATTGGATAAATAAATAATTTTTTTTAAACGAAATTCTGTGTTTTGATCTTAGTTCCTTTCAACTAATCTCTCACGACCCTGACCTAGCACTCCATGTTCTGGTCCAGTTCTGGATACTGAGGACAAAAATCCAGTGGCGCCCTTAAGAGAAAAGGGGCGACCAAGAGAAGGAAAACATTCCGTTTCAAGAAGATCGAAAGACGCTCCATTGACTCCTTTACAAAGTTGAAGAAAAATCGCGTAAGGTATTTCAAATATGCATTAAAGTTTTATTTCAGTAAAATGGACAACTATTTTTTATTTTGTTAGACACTCGTCTAGCTCCGTCACAAAATGATTACGAAAAAGTCACAAGAACGTTATTAAATTTACTTCTGTTCGATAGGCATTTTTCTTAGTTAAATCCACATCCGAATCACGTTCATAAGTTCCGTCCCCGAGTCACAAAATAGTCCGAAAATAGTCACAAAAATGTTCCAAAAAAGTCACAAAAATGTCCCAATAAAATGACAAAATTTATTTCAGTTGAATCTACGGCAATCAAACTGAAAAATGTCTTTTATCACGATTGCAAAAATATTCTAGGAACCCTGGCGGTTTTGCAGTCACGTTTGGAATAAGGTGATTACACAAAAGGAGTAACGTGGAGACCTTCTGAAACAACCAAAGTAACTTCAAAATTTATTGTCGTTACCTGCACTTTAGATGCGCCGGCTCGTGCAGCAGTGGTTCGCATAAAAAATTTTAATGGTTACTTTGGCTGTACATTTTGTTATGCGGAAGGTGAAAGTTTGTCACGAGGAAAATTCATCTATCCATTTAGTCAGTCTTATGGCAAATTAAGAACTGACAATGCAGCTTTCCTAGGAGCTGCAAAATTACATATAACAATTCTGTTAACGACAACAAAAGCTTCCTATTATATTGGACACCCCGATGTGATAAAAATAATTGATAAAATATTATTATCTATAAAACCTCCTTCTCGTCGAGCTCGAACTCCTAGAAGTATTAATTCTTACGCGCAATGGAAAGCTTCCGAATGGCGGAACTGGTTGGACTATGCTCCAGCATGTTTAAAACCTGTTTTAGAGGAAAAATACGTTAATCATTTGGCCCTTTTTTCAGAAGCTATGCATTACTTGAATAGTGATTCAATAACGTTATCAGAACTGGATCGTGCGTCAATGTTATTGAAGGAATATTTCAAGTTATTTGAAGAGTTCTTTGGTACTGAAAAAATGACATCGAATATCCATTCATTAACTCATCTTGCTCGATGTGTAATGAACTGGGGTCCTTCTTGGGTGCACAATGCTTTTATTTTTGAGGCTTGGAACCGGAATATTATTGAATCTCAAATATAAATAATAATAATTGTATATTAATAATAATATTAATAAATAAATAAATAAATCTTTCCTTTCACTTAAGCCACACCGTCCATCTTACGGTTAGCATTTTTTAACAAATATAAATAATGCAACATTTACGTAACAGGATATTTTGGTAGGAAAGGATTGAGAAAGGATTGTAGAGAGGAACTTTTTAATGTTAGTGTATAGAATATGTGAGAAAAAATTTATTAGATAGCTCGGACTGGGATTCGAACCCAGAATCTTCCGAAGACATGTCGGCTACTCTACTATTTGAGCTATCCGGTCTATACTAAATTTCCTTTCACTTGTTCTATATACATTAAGCCACACCTTCCATCTTACGGCTAGCATTTTTAACAAATATAAATAATGCTGTGAAGCGGGAAAGAATAGGAGTTACGGATAATTATTACGTGAAGCGTTCCAAGTATAAGTATAAGTAGTCCGAATGCTCGCGAAGATCAAATCGCCACACGTTTTCTGATGCAAAGATTTCTCAACACCAGCATTTGACAAGTCTATCGCTTCTGAAACAAGGGACTACATTGTTAAAAAACTTAAAGTTGTCGATGAAACTGTAGAAATAGGATTCGCTGATAAATTTGTTTTGAAAGAAAAACCTACGATTCGATCTTTAACTGAAGGCGAGCGCATTGTTCTATGTGCAGCTGGTTACACACCAGAAAAAATCAATATTTATGGACATATGCGATTGAATGGAATCAAATTTAGTAGCGTAAATCCTCAACTCCAAACCAAAGTTTCGAACTCGTTTGCATTCAATGAGCGTGATGAAGTTTTTTTTGAAATTAAAAAAATTGTCCAATTTCAAATAGATGATAATTTGATTTCAGGTTTGATTGCTCAGAATTTTTCACATGCTTGCTATGGATTTGATACTCAATTTATTCATGAAGTTGATAAAAATCATACCAACTTCATTCAAGAAACCTCTAGAATAAGACCAGCGATAAAAATAACAACCATCGGAGCAACATATGCAATCAAACTTGCAAACTGTTGGGAAACAGATTGATGGAGGATAAATTTTTCTATTTCCTGAACGTATTGTTGCGTAGAGTATAATTTTTGTTGATCATATAAATAATTATTTATTAGTGAATTTATTGATTTCCGAATATTTTACTAAAAATAATATTTTTCTATGTTTTGTATTTATGATAAATAATAAATTTTTTAAAATTAATTATCTCATACTAATTAATAACAAGACTCATTTTTTTTTTTTTTAATATAAATTGATTATTTTTAAAGGTAATGAATCCGTCCCAAACGTACTTTTGGTATGTTTTACTTTTGGTAAGTTTTTGTACACTAAAAAATATATGAATTGATATAATTTAATGTAAAATATCTATAGAATTTGAGATTTCATCAAGATTATATTTTGAAAATTGAGTCTTTAAGTATAATTTTTCTTCTTATATGCGTTCAAGGATACCATGCTTTATTTTATTATTAATTGTACATGAGATAAACAAACGGGAAAATACAGTGAAAGGAAAGCAATTCTACTGTGAATTGACAGCCAAAAAATTGTCGAATCGTCGTGAATTGACGGTGAAAATGTAGTGAATTGCTGGTCGAGTCGTAGTCAATTAACAACGTTACCACTATCATTTCCTGAAACATCGACCTCGAAATACTCATTCCCCGCAGTAGAAACATGGTGTATCGACGGTCGAAACGTCTTATTTTCATGAATTAGGGACAACTTTTCTTCAGTGGAACGATTATTTTGTCACTATTTACTCACCATCCTTAGATAGTGACGGAACGAAACAAATACACCAGTTTTTCACTGTGAATCGACTATACTAAAACCCTGAATATAACGTGAAACGACCGTATTATTAATCAACCGTGAATCGACGATGTTTTGGGTGTATGTCATTATACCCGCGTAGCATTATACCCGCGTAGCATTATACCCGTGTTGCAAAATACCCGCACAAAATGGCGGTGCCTAAGAAAAATACCGCAGTGACATCTGTGGGGTGCAAAAAAATAATATTTTTGAAATTTGCATGATCGAGGAGAAAATAAATTGTAGATGGCGCCAGGGTCAAACAAAATTCATTAAAAAAAAAGAGATGATAAAAATATAAGGAGTGAAAAATATCCCATTTGATCAGAACCAATACCATCGGTGTTCCAAGTATTTTCCTCCGTAGGTTTTCCCTAGATACAACGTAATATTAACCTCCGACCCTCCAATCAACTGCTCGTCGACGACCTGTCAGTGGAAAATACCCCGAAGTGTTTTCAGCCAAGGGAGTCACTGGAAAATTTTTTTAAAGTTATAAAATACTCTACCGCGTATACCTTTCCTTAAATTAAAGTGTCCAGGTGTTTTCCTCCGTAAGTTTCTCCTGGATACACCTGAATATTAACCTCCGACCTTCCGATCAATTGGCCGTCAACGACCTGACCTTGAAAGAGACCCCCAAGTGTTTTTAATCAAGGGAGTCACTTAAAAATGTTTTTACAATTATAAATTACTCTACCACGTATACTTTTCCTTAATTTAATGTGTCCAGGTATTTTCCTCCGTAGGTTTCCCCTGGATACATCTGAATATTAACCTCCGACCTTCTGATCAACTGTTCGTCAACGACCTGACCTTGAAAGAGACACCCAAGTGTGTTCAACCAAGGAAGACACTTGAAAATGTTTTTTAAGCTATAAATTACTCTACTGCGTATACTTTTCCTTAATTTAATGTGTCAAGGTGTTTTCCTTCGTAGGTTTCTCCTGATAACACCTGAATATTGATCTGAGACCTTCCGATCAACTGTTCGTCAATGACCTGACCTTGAAAAATAACCCCAAGTGTTTTAAGCCAAGGGAATCACTTAAAAATGTTTTGAAAGTTATAAATTACTCTACCACGTATACTTTTCTTTAATTTAATGTTTCCAGGTCTTTTCCTCCGTAGGTTTCCCCTGGATACATCTGAATATTAACCTCCGACCCTCTGATCAACTGTTTGTCGACGACCTGACCAAGAAAAATACACCCAAGTGTTTTTAGCCAAGGGAGTCAGTTAAAGGTGCTTTTAAAGTTAGAGGTTACCGCAAATACCTTCTCTTCATTTAAAGTGTCCAGGTGTTTTTTCTCGTAGGTTCACTTAGGAAACTTTTCATTACTTACCTTCAATCCTTTTAGTAACTCCTTGCCGACGACTTTACCTCAACAACGCCCCTTAAGAGTTTTTTACATACAAATATATGCACCCTTTATGTTACAATCATAAATAAAATTTTATTCTTATTCATGTTATACATATATTTTTATTATTTTTTCGTATCGAATTACTGTTAATTATTTTGTGAGTGACCACTTTGTTTCATTACTATTATTACTTTTTACTAAAACTAACTTTAATTTTGGTAAATCTTCCTTTACTGGAATTTTCTTCTTTGTTCCTATATGAATTGAAGAATTTAATCATTTATTATTCTAGGTCAAGTATAATAACACGAATATCTCTCAACTTCCTGCCTAGAAAAATGAAAATTTTCGAAAATCGGGAAGTTTTTGGTTTTATCCCGTTTTATCCCAGTTGATGCTATTCGAAAGGGTTTGACTGAACTTAAATTTTGAATTTACTTTTGATCAATTCAGACCGTTAGATTTCGAGAAATTGCAAAAAAACTAAAAAAAAAAATTTTTTCAAATGTCGTTTTTTTGGAATAATTTTTAAACGGCTTTACCGATCAATTATTAAAACTAATCGGTTCTTAACATAAAAAAAACTACGTCGATCGCCGCCAGTCCGGTCAAAATCGGTTGATTCGTTCGTGAGTTATCCTTGACGAAAGAAAACCGAAAAAAGCGTTTTTTCGGAATTACTCCGAAATTTGTCGTTCTATTAATTTAAACTTGAAGATCCGTTATGAAGCTTAAAAAACTGCGTCGAATGCCACCAACCGCGTGAAAATCAGTACATTCATTCAAAAGATATTGCGATTTGTAAATTCAAAAAATAGTGTTTCATCAAACTTCTATCAAACTTTTGAGCTCGAAGAGCTCAAAAGCTTACAAAAGCTGTTTTTTCGAGCTCGGAGAGCTCAAAATAATACACCAATTGTATTTATGAGCTCAAAGAGGTCAATAACGTCATTAGTGTTTTCAAGTGTTTCGGTATAAAATTGGCGGGTACTTGCAGGGATGTCCTTCAGGGTCAACCGTTTTCCTAATTTTTTTCTTTATAATAGAGAAGCAAAAAAAATCTCCCATAAATACCGCCATTATTGAAGGATGATGTTTAATAGTGTGGAATTTCACCCACTAAAAAAAACCTCTCTTCTTCCCCGTAGATGGTACGGAGATGACTGGATCGGAACCGCGTTAGCATTACTTCAATCCAGTCCGTGATGCGTCTCACGACGCCTACTTCTGGTTAGTGGTCCCTTCCTGCGGTTTATTCTGTTAAAAGGTACTGCGCGTAGGCTACGATAGCTGACCAGTTATATTATTTCTTGAGCATGCAGGATACCAAGCTCTATTGAGAGAGGGTGGTGCCAATAGTTTCTTCGGTGCTGCTTCTGTAGTCCTTTAACTTTATACACACGAAAAAAGTATGTTTCGCGTCGTCGATTTAGTCCGGGTAGCATTCGAACGACAGCGTGTGGTGCAGCCCCATCTTGAAGAAATAGGCGTTAAGCTATCCGTGTCCCGTCAATAGGTGGGTGAAGAAGAAGTCCGTGTCCCCGTGCTTCCGAGAAAGCTAGAAGTTAATCTTTCAGATCAGGTGCGCCGTCCATCTACCCATCTCTTCCGATGTCCATCGGTTCTGCCACTCTTGCTGCGTTTCCACCTTTACCCTCGTTCTTGCGTCATTCATGTTTTCGTCACTGTTTTTAGCGTCATAGAGTTTTGCTCTCTTGAACGCCAGTAAGTCGATGAGCACGGCTCCCGCAATGACAGTTTTAAGAGCTGGTCCCTATGAGTGCAGCTTTTCATTTCTCTTCTAAACGAATGCAACAAGGATAGTACCGTTTCTCGCCGTGAGTGCGACGCGAGAAAAAGATGGGACCAGTACTTAAGAGTCAATTGTTTTCCAATTTTTTTTTTTAATTTAATAAAACCAATACCTTCCCGATTTGTTAATATTTTCGATGTTTTCAGTGGCAAGTTATAACAATATTTCGACCTTTTTAATATTGAGCTATTGAATTCGGATTTTTCTTTATAATTTGAAATTTTATCACAATTTACCTGTCTTTTTGGAAACTTCCTTTTCTACTACTTTCTTTTCTGCATCGTCCTCTTCTGCAATTTCATTTTCCGTCAGTGCTGTTTTTGCAATTTTCTTTTCCGCAACTTCCTTTTCTCCAACTTCTTTTTCTTCCCGACAACTGTCTTTTTCGCAGTCCATATTCAGTGCATCATCTATTTTTTATATTTATATATATGTGATTTCAATAATGTGTCTCAAATTTATATATATATATATATATATATATATATATATATACCAATGATATTGTGCTACCATTCTCACAAAAAATTAAGGGAGCAAGAAAGAAATCTAAATTTTTGGGGGTTTTTAAAAGGCTGTAACTTGTAGAAATATGTTCGCACAGCAATTAAAAAGAAAAATTTGGAAAACGGTTGACCCTAAAGGCCATCCCTGCAACTTCCCGCTAATTCCGTTAACACCTAGGTGCTTAAAATTGCACCTACAAAGTTTTTGAGCTCTTCCAGCTCGAAAATACAATCTGTGTGTCCTTTTGAGCTCTCCGATCTCAAAAGTCTTATCAAAATTCGATGAAACACGATTTTTCTAATTTTTAAACTGCTGTAACTTTTTAATAAATTGACCGATTCTCACGCAGTTGGCGGCGATCGATGTGGTTTTTTGATCTCTATAAATGATTCAGAACAAAAAAATAAATCTGATGAAAAATTTCAGAGTTATTACAAAAAAACACTTTTTTCGATTTTTTTCGACAACGATATCTCACGGACGAATCAACCGATTTTGACGCTCTATGTGGCGATCGGTGC